GGTTTAGGTCGCAGATAATTAGTTTAAACTTTAGTTTGAGCTTTTAGTCTGAGCTCTTATTCTTGCATATAATTTATTTTTATTTGTTTTTGTACAAATTAAGCTTTTATAACTATATAATTGCTTATATAAAATAATCAATAAAGATATGAGCAAGGCCCCACCTTAAAATCAAAAAAAAAAAAAAAAAAACGGACACATACATTTAGAATAAAAAAATATATAATCAAATAAACAAAACGTTTGTTACGCACTAAGACTGCTTCTTCTTGAATAACTGCATGCATTTCATCATTATTAGAGTGAAGCATGTGGGCAAAAAACAATTTTCTTAAGCTGATTCCTAAACAAAATTTATTGACTGTTATTTGGTAGCACACGGTATACAACTTGAAGAATGCAGGGGTGATGCATTTAAACTAGGATAAAAGTAAAATATATTAAATATATTATACGTATATCGTTTGTTGACTAACATTTAAAACACTGTTTTTTTATCGACGATGCATTCATAAAGTTATTATGTATCCGTTTCTGCCTATCGCTATTTTTAGAATGCATTAAAACTAAATTACGAGATAAATCGTAGGAATTGCAAGTAAAATTCACCAATTATAATCGTGGAAATTTGATAAAATTGACTGTTAATCCCAAGAAGCCCTATTTTATTGAACAGGTATGCAATTCTTAGTTCTAAAATTTCTATAAATGTTAAATTTTAATTTTGCATTCTAATGAAACTTGTGGATTGATTATATAATCTTAAGTTGATTGACGCCCAAAACTACATCACTTTAGCTTTAGATACATTAGAATGTTCAAATAATTTGCTTACTAAAGAAAAATCTTACGAGGTAAACTTTATAATTTGTCTATATATGGTACCTATAATAAAAACTAATTTGTAATATTACGATATTTCATTCGAACAAGTTATTGGATACAGTTCTTAAAAATATATCTAATGCCCGATTTATTCTTACTTGTGCAAATGAAGAAAAATTGTTTCCTTATAAAATTTGTGATCCTCAGGTAATTTTAAAGATGTTCTGGGTTATATTTTACAATCAAGTAATGAATTTATTATTATGTAGATGTTCAGCTCCAAATTGCCTGAAGACTTAGTGATTCAGTTTCATGTTGAAGGTTCATGTATAGTTGTTTCCGTTTATGCGCTTCAATTTCATTCTTCAGCACCGCAACAAAAGCAAGGAAATATTTTAGGATCTTCTAAAAGTTCATTGAAAGTTTGGTATCCTTTTTATTATGTAATTTTATATGATATGAATTTTTTTTTTCGACTTTTTCTATTTATAACTTCTTAATCATTTCACTTTTGGATATAAATAATTATTAGCCAGTACAAAGATAAATATGCATCAGTATTGAATGAAATTGTAGTAAAATCATTAGATCCAAAGTTAGAAAAAGTTATGGAGTGTCTGAAAAAGTTAGAAAGCAATTGTTCTGCTTGGAAAAACAAGATTGCAATATTTTAAATTAAAATTCTATTTATGCTTTTTGTTATTTTTTGATTACGAAAAATTAATTTCTAATGCACTACTGATGATTTAAGGTTTCGAAAATTATTGTGTGGAGCATTTAACAATGGTATTATTCGATACACTTAGTGCTCGGCACAATCAAACAAAAATTTGACAGTCAAATACTTGTTAATACTTATGTTTAAATCGGATGTCAA